AAAAAAAGTTTCTGACTCACCACTCGATGCGCAGCAGCGGAGTTAGCTACGTTCTGGTTCTGAAACATAAAAATATAGAATCCGTTAAAGTAGTGTTCAGGAAAACTAATATATAAAATTAAGTAATTCTTATGCGTCTCAAACTTTATTCGGTAAAATGTTTCAATGATTAGTGCGCGAAAGATTTTCCGCAAAAAATCTTCACGAGAATAAACTTTTATAAAATTTTAAATTATTTCTTGTTCTGTAATTACTATTTCGAAATTATAGAATTATGAAATAAACCGACTCGACAATAAACTGGGGAAAAGATTACTTTTACACAAAATTAAAAATAACATTTACCGTAAAGCTGCTCCGCCGGCGCCCGATGCCTTATCCCAAGCCTCCTCTTCCACTCAGATTGTAGTGGTACACTCGCGAAAACACAATCGTTCGCGCGATTTGACACTCCCGATTATAAAACCCATTTGAAAGTATTCTGTAATTCCGTCAAGTTCGCCTCCACTTCGAGTCGACGAGTAAGTTGAGACCCACGGTATCCATGAACAAAAGCATTTCAATGCGAGTCCCAAAAACTGCCGAATCTCAGAAGTGTGGCCATCGACAGGAATGGACATTTAATGAATACTTGTTCCTCAAATGGGCTTTGAAAAGTCTCTAGTTCGATTATTTAAACGGCACTCCCGAACGCGACGAAAATGGAAACTTTATATGTTATACGCGCACTTCTTTACGTATAATTGTTAGAGATTATTTCTTGGTAAGCGATCGATATGTTATAATTTTTCGTTATTATTTTACCCGACGATTCGTGTATATTCATCTCGACAAATCATACTTAAACGCGATTGATAAAAGTTAATAACTCGTACGAGACGATCGCGTTGCGTAGGAATTAATTGCGTTACGAGAAGCGACACGAAAACGCGCGGAATACCCGCCTCGCTCGACTGTGCCGCGCCGACTGATTCGGTACAATTAGCGATTGATATCTCGCGTGATCACTGAATCCTCGCGATTTGCCATCGATGCTCGGTTACCGAGAGTGAAATTACTTGTTTATTGCGCTAATTACGGGCGATAATTGCTTCTTTAAACGATGCTAGTATTCGAACACATCTCGTATCATCGCATTGAGTCTCTCGTCGCTTCGGGTATAATTTGTTGGCTGTTTCTGTTGACCGCGAACTTTGCTTGTATTGTAACAAGCACTCTTTTGAAATCTATATAGGTACGTACTTTTTCATTTTTATTTAAAAAGGACAGCAGAAAAATGTATAATTTTGATAGAAACTTGATGTACTATAATACCTTAATTTTAATTTTAATCTTACATATATTTCTTTACAAATTTTTATAAATATCTGAACTGCATTTTCGAAAAATTAATATTTTAGTTTTTCATACATAAATAATGTTGCTTTTTCATTAATTACATTCTCATGCAGTTACTAAATGCACACTTGCTTCGTCATCGTGTAGAATATATGACAGTAAAGTAAGATACCGAAGTTTTAAGTAGCTATAATTAAAAACGCTTCCTTTTATAATATCTATTTCTATGGTTTTTTAAATATTGCATACATATCATCTTACCGTAGCAAAACATTCCATAGATGCATCAAATAATCCACTAACATTCAAAACAAACTCTTTAGTTTCTCTTTGTAATAGAAACAGTATTAGCTTTTGTACATGCAACGGGGTTCTATACCACTGAACGTTATACCTATGAAATTGTACATATTATACACATATCAAATTATTAATTGATAAAAAGAACTTTTTATCTGTTACTTTTAACATTCATGCTAATTTGTTGTGTAACTATATTCTACATTTTACACATTTTATATCTACATATCATTTTTAAAGGACAAATGTATATCTATTTTACGAAATGTTTCTTACGCTGTAGAGAAAACTTGATCATTATGATCTATTATATTTTGTCCAATATAGTTGGCTATGAACATATATAAAATACTGACAGAAACATATATCATCGGCATAAACAACTCCTCAACATTATATTCAGATGAAGCAATCTCAAAAATCTAAGATACAAATTTTATGAAAATTATCAGTTTTTTTATGCTGCAAACTTCATTTTTAAAGCTATTTTCTTAAAAATAAAGATAGTATGCCAGTATTCATAGTCAGGGACTCGATTCCTGAATTCATTCGAAAGAGAAATTTATGCGAAAATCCTGTTTTCACAAAAAAAGTTGAAAGTCGATTGTTAAAAACTATGTGAATGGCCCAATCAGCTTGCAACTTATCTGTAAGAGCAGAATTTTCACATACGTCATTTCTCCTTCGAATGAATTCAAGAATCGAGTCCCAGATCTTATATTCAAGACCGTCTTGAATTTATCTAAAGATGCTGTATGGAACATTTCATTGGCTATGAAGTATCTAAAGATGATCCTAAAACGGACTTGAATATGAGATTTGACTATGACCGGTATTCATAATCAGATCTTATATTTAAGACCGTCTTGAATTTATCTGAAGATGCTGTATGGAACATTTCATCTATAATAATATCATCTATAATAAAGATGATATCTTAAGACGGTCTTGAATATAAGATCTACCTATGAATACCATAGTATACTTCAAAGTGGAAACTTCCTTTACAATGTTAATTAGTCACAAATAGTAAAAAGGATACAAAATAAAAATATAACCATTAAAAAATAGGCATTAATAACATTGTCCGTTAATAATAATACGTGAATTCGACCGTCAGTATTTAAACAAATCGCATAGTAGAAAGGCCTATGACGGTAATGCTGGATCTTTGTGCCTAATAGTTGTGCGTATATGTATATGTATACATCCTTATTCAACATGTAACAACTGCACGCCAATAACTTTATTAATCTTGAAACACAGTATTAAACTAAAGAGTAAACCTAATTAAATTGACAATCAATTTAATAACGATGCTGATTAAACACCCTTTAGTAATAATCTGTAAATGATATATTTTAAAAAATATTACTTTAGCCAGGATTCGAACCTGGGCCTTCCTATGATTTGCCGTGTTAAATAAGGATGTATACGCAAAAATATTAGGCACGAAGATCCAGCGTTACCGTCATAGACCTTTTTATTACATGATTTATTGTCCATTAAGTTTGAAAAACATTGGTAAACTTATTTTTTTAATGTTAATGTATTATCTATAATAGTATTAAATTTTATAAAACAACGCTTCTATATTCATGACTTTTATTCTAATGATATATTGTATAATATATGTATACAGTTATCTAAAATATTGGATTCCATCAATTCTATTAATTGTAACAATTGTTATTAGAAGTTAATACTTTTAGTACAACTTTTTCAGTTCTTGTCATATTTATTGAACAGTACTGTTAATGCAAATATATTTTGCAAGCATATGTACAATACGAAATAAAACACTTACTTGAAACAGATTTAGGGCTAAACAAGCCACTCCACATACTATTAAACAAAACATCATTACCTCGAGTATGGACATCAAATGTTTGGACAATCTTAAAAAAAACAGAAATATATAACTAAACATATTAAATTTATATTGTGGGCGTGAATACAAACTTCATAGCTGTTCGATGAATGTCGACAGCACAAATTACACCCTCCGTCATCAAGATCTTATTTTTCAGCGGAAGATTTTGTCGAATATCGATATTTATTGCATGCTCTATACGATAACTGTAAATGTTTATGTTGTAATTATACACCAACTCACTGAATGACACAATTTATCAGCTACAACCACACCTTTATACAAATTTTTTAAATACATTATGTTGTTTAGTGATAACAAATGTAGATTCAAATTATTATAATCGTTCCTACATCTATGTGCGCACCAAGCAATTCTAAATATCCCACACATATGATGAAAATACGTTATGAGCATTGCCCCTACTGCTAATATCGCAGCCGACCCGATGCAAAATATTAGATTGATATGGAACAAAATCAAATAGAAATACTTTTCCTGATCGATAAAATACTCCGTCATAATTGGCAACCGTCGTAATTGAGATACGTTTTTTGGTAAAATAACGAGGATACTCGACCAGTATTGGCCGATAACAAGGACAAATAAGGCGCCACCTGCAAATACTGAAAAAAATTAGGAAACAGTTTTATCGCTAAAATTTCTGCTGTACATATATGCTTATCAAGATCTGTAGAGTTTAATACACATATACATGTATTATAAAATTTTATATTATTTGGATTATTTATTTATATAATTAATTTCTATCTAGACCTGCTTAATTATTATTATTTATTACTGGCAACCTGAAGAGATTTCTGCTTTATTATTTTTATCGATTTGTATGATATTTAATTGCAATTCATACTGTTTAATGTGTACGATATATTACAAGTATGTTATTAATCGTTTAATAAACGCGTATGTATATGCCGAATACTTAGATTTGATATGTCAAATATAAAAGTATAAAGAAATTTAATTAGCTGAAATCGATTTTGAAGTGTTTGTAGCTTACGTTAAATGATAATTCTAAGCATCTAAGGTCTGAGAATATTATTATTACTTGTAAGTGAAATCGTAAAGCGTCTTGCACTGCAACCATACTCTTCTATGATAGCAACTTCGTTTTTATCTTTTAATTGATCGTATACGTGCTGAAGTTGCATCAGTAAGTCCTTTACCTGTTATTTCAATCACTTTATACTGTATTTGTAATAAAAATATATAATATTTTTTAACATGTAATAATAATTTACATGGCAAAGGTGATTACATCGTCAAACGTATATTCTGCAAACAATCAACTTACAACTGCGATGTTAACACAGAATAAATTGTATTTTATTAAGGTAACAAGAAAGAAAGATGTGGAAGATAAAACCTTGCAGACGAGATTTGCAGTAACCTTTGATGTCAATAGCGTCGTCAACTATCAGTAATAATTTTATTTATAATTACGCTTATAAACAGTCACAATTTCATATAACGATTGTATTATATGACATAAATTGAGAGACATTATTTCATAGAAACGTGGTAACTTATCATGAAATACTGTTAGTTATACTCTTACTTGAAATATAATACCCGCCGTCAGAATAGTAGAGAAGCAAATAAACTGAAATCGTGTGAGTTTAGATTGTTGGTAAGGCCACAAGCCGATAGTAAGTAATAGAATTCTATTGAAACTGAAATGCTGAGTCTCTAATTGAATCATTTCTTTACAACGTCCGGAATGCAACTGGTTGTACGAACGTCGACGAGTACGATTATCCCTTCCCTTTCTCTATTGATTGACTAGATATTCTCCCATATGTAAACGTTACTGCGAATACCATAATTTGTATAATACGAGGCTATACAAAATTACCACCGTATAAGTGGGAACTTATTCATATTTTAACGGCGTTTCTGCAATAAGAATTACTATTACGGCATCGATTCGACATCAAGGGAACTTCAACGAATATTTTCTTTGAACGAAAATAAATATATTTGTGAGGGAACAGAAGTCACGCAAGCGCGTATTCACTCTTTTACCGCAATAACTTTATTCCCGTATGCGATCTTGCAAGATACGTTTCGCCTTTGAATTGAATATCCTCGAACCTTGGCTTCTTCGATACCGATCTTAATTGATACAGCTGTCATTTTTAAACATGGTGACTATATTAATAATAATAATTTTATATGTTATAAAATATTATCAACATATAGATATTTTTCAGCTGATAAATGGTGCATGACAGTTGGACAAATTAAATATCATATTATCTATGAAAAAGACGTAATAATATTATTTTTAACCTTAACATATTATTTATGAAGATAATATCCAATTCGTGATAATGATATCATATACAATCTTTTATTATTTGATGTACAACAATCATAGTCCTAATGACGTACAATATCTAATCCTAATATATTTGCAGAGATTTTGATGTCTTAATACTCTAAAATATTTGAATATTGAACATTGTCTGTTATCTCTAATTAAAAAACTTGAAGCTCAAATTACATAGTAAAAAATATACTTTTTTATGTTCTAATATAACAAATGCTGTTTTATATTCTTTAAATATGTTTTTCTCATGCGCTTACTGCATTTGTATTTGACTGTGTAGTTAGTATAACAGTAAAATAAGATACCGACGTTTTCATCACCTGCAATGAAAAATATATTGTTATTGTATATTTCTTTTTAATATATACCTTACATACTCAAAAAACCAATACATGATCTTTACTGTGGCAAAGCATTCGAAGGATGGAACGAACAATCCACCGACATTTATAGTAAACTTTTTAACGCCATTTAACAACAAGAAGAGTATTAATCTCTGGATATGTAAAGGTGTTGCGTACCATTCAACTCCGTATCTATAATACATAAAGTATAAAGACGAGAATAGACCATTTGAGAAAAAGCAAGAAGATTTCCGAGTAATTTTCACAATTTTAATTATTATAGTACTTGTAACGTTAAGTACTTATTACTTTACTTTCGATACAGTAATCTGTGAATCTTCCCGTAATTGTATTTCGTGAGAAAGCTCCTTACACGGTATCAAATACGTAATTATTGTGATCCGTCATATTTTGTCCAAGCAAATTCGCTATGAACAGGTATAGGATATTTATAGCCGCAAATACGCTAGGCACAAAAGCTAGTTGAATAGCTTGCTCAGACATCACAACCTGAGAAATCTGAAATACAAATCTCACTATTACAAACAATTTTTGCATTTTAAGGAGAATTAAGATGCAAGAAGTTGATTCCAATCGCATGATTCGTCAATTAACTTATTTTACGATACATTTTGTTCCTTCAAAATAATAAGAACCATTAATGGATTCATGGAATTGCTAGTAAAAATCAGGACAATAAAATTACTGCACGACTTTGAATAAAAGTACTTTCTTCGGTTGCATAAATTTTTTGATAAGTATTTATAGTATGTACATGTTATGAACAGAATTGGGAAGTAACTCGTTACTTGTAACGAAGTTACAGTTACAGATACTTTTTTTTTGTAACTCTAACTTAACTTCATTACTTTCTCTCCATCTGTAACTGTAACTTACAAAGTTACATTAAGTTCCCTAGTAGCACAGTGCATTGGACAAACATTGGTTAAACATTGGCTCAATATTTGGTTATCTTGGGCCAACGTTTAGCCAATGCACTGTGCTACTAGGGTTACTTTATACATATTTTAAACCTCCACAGATCGTATTTGCATTTGCACATAAACGCTTTTATCAACACTTTACAATTCAAATGCAGATTTGATATTTTAATTTTTATTACAAAAAAGTAACTGCAAAGTAACGATTCGTTATTTTTTTAGTAACTGTAACTGTAACGCGTTACTTCTCAGAACTGGTAACTTTTAACTGTAACTAGTTAAATTTTTAGCGAAAAAACTGTAACTAGATACTTTTATATAAAGTAACTTCCCCAATCCTGGTTATAAATCTATTGCTTGTTCAAGGATAAATAAGGTTAAAATCCAAACTTACTCGAACAAAGTTGAAACATATTGAAATTATAAGGGACTGTGCTACAAAGAAGAACATTACTTCAAATTTGGACATGAAGTATGTGGCGAACCTTCAAAAACAAAATATAATCACTGCATATACGAGTATTACATACATGTATGTACACTAGGAATAACCGATGCCTTCCTACATGAATTTTTGTGCACATATCAACACATTTATACATTTTGCACATACATACATGGAAAATGTATATGTGTCCTACCTGTGCCTAAGTTCATATGGGAAGGCATCAGTGATTCCTACTGTACTATTATATATGGATGCATATATTATATGGATATTAACTGTAAAGCTTGTCGATGGATATCTACAGCGCAAATTAAATCCTCGGATCTTACAATTTTATTTTTCAACGAAATATTGATGTTTACTGCGCGTTCAACACGATAACTGTAAATAATTTAGATGTTTTTAATAAGGTTTTTCTTTATTTAATTTATTTATCATTTTTTTCATGTCGCAAGATAAACCGTATCTTCACATTTGTTCAACACAGATTTATTTACAATTAAAATTTTAGCGGCCATTTTATATTCGTTTTATACCTGGCTATTTTAAGCATTCCACAGAAAAATATAAAATATGCAATAAACAGTGTTCCTGTAGCTAACAGCACAATTCCACCTATACATACTGCTATGGTTACATGCAGTTGAATTAAAAAAAAATATTTTTCTCCATCAACAAAATATTCTGTTATGACTTGCATGTGACCTGGTCGAGTTAAGTTCATCGATGGAATATCATCAGATGTAGTCCAAAATTGAATAATAATAGGTATTCCACATGTACCTGCTACTAAAAATATATAAATATATTAATTGATATCTTGATTTCTGTTGTGAAACTTTTAAATTATTTCAAATATTGCCTATGTACATACGTTACAAAAATTAATATTTTTATTTCAATTATCATAAATATTCATTAAGCAACTAATAGCTATCAGTAATTTTATTGGACTTGGAAACATCTTTGCGACTGTACATGTATAATATGATCACATAAATGTGTCAAAAGTATATGTATGCAACAAATAGTTGCAAATTATATACTTTAGGTATATGCATAGGCAGATGTGTAAAGAATTTATAGTAATTTGTCTTATACGTTAAAAGAAAAACATAATTAAATATATGCAAAAATATGTAATAATATTATCTTACCAATAAGTGCAATTGTATAACATTTCGCAGTGTAGCCATATTTTTCTATGATAGCGATTTCATTTTTATCTTTTAATTCGTTACATATATGCTGAAGTTGTATAAACAACTTTTTTACCTGTTATTTTTTCAATAATTGTACATGCCACCTTTGTAGATAGCAATATTGGGAAATACTTTTTAATATAAAAATTTAACGGATACGACCCAAGAGCTATGAACTTACAGGTTCGAAATTAACATAGAATCCGCAATATTTTGTCATACATAAAATAGAAAAAGATACGGAAGACACAATCGTGATGACGAAATCTGAAGTGTATTTTAATGTTGTCCTAAATGGTGTCAACTGTAATTGTTTATCAGTAAATTGTAATATGTGATTATAAATAATTATACTAGATAATATAGATTAATATAAATTATTTGTTTGTAAAAGATTTTTAAGCATTAATTTATCCTGCAATAATGCCATTATGTGCAATGTGTGTGTTTCTCCTTACTTGAAATATAGTAAACGTCATTAAAAGTGCAAAGAGGAAAATAAATTGAAATCGAGTGAATTTGGATTGTTGAAATGGCCACAAGCCAATAGCAAGCAACAGAATTCTATTGAGACCTAAATATTGAGTCTCTATACAGATCATCACTTAGCGAAGTTCGGGACACGAATGACTGTCGAAGCAATCGAAGAGAATACGCTTACCCCCTCCGTTTTGTATTGTTCGGTCAGATATTCTAAGAGTTTCCTATTCTGGTATAACTTCCAACGCATTATGTAATTTTTTTAATACAGGAATATTGCATAATACATGAGATCATAATACTTGCAATTTGACAAATTACTTAATAACAGGTATACCTTTATACTATCGATTTGACACGAAGGGAAATTTAACAAATGTTTTCTCTCGTAAAACGTGGTGCACTTATAAAAAAATTCTGAAATAAGAATAGCACATTTGCATTTTGTTAAAGAAGCGCGACTTTACATATTTTATTCTCGCATGTACAGCCAAGTTAGGTTCGACTTCCAAGAGAAATAAATTTGTGTTAATCTTGAAATATTATAATCTTGCAATCAGTCGTAAGTACTGTCCTTGTTGAAATTGTTAACTTAATTCCTTATTAATATTCTATTGTTTTAGTCTTTATTTTATTATTACCCGCAAGACATATTTTATTTTGAAAAGAATGAAGTGTATCTTCGATATCTTGTCGGGTTAATTAAATGTAGTACTATTTAACTTTTCGATTTCAAACACATGTCTATAACAATACAGGATGTCCTGGTAAAGGCTGGCAATCTCTCGTGGACAGGTAAAGAGTACATAAAAATAACTCGAGAGAATAGAAATATAAACATAGAAATAAATTTATAATAACAACATATAACGTTTTCAGTTATAATTAATTAAGATTTTCTCGCAATTGCTTTATGGTGTATTATTGCAATTTATTAATTATTATAAAAATAACATAATCTCTTCATATCTTCAAGAAGGCCGCAATTAAAACAATTAATTTCCTTTGCACGACCTGCACGTCTCGTAATACCCTAATAAGAAAAGTGTTCCAAAATCATCCGCTCCCGTTGAGACCTGTTCAACGCAAACAAGTACCCTAGCAACAGGAGGGCGGTTCTATCAGGATCGCATCCCTTGCGAGCAGCTTCTCGTGCGGGGTGTAGGCGCGTAAGCGACCTGTCCGCCTCCATGCATCCTTGATCCGGAAATATGCTTCGCGTTTGAGGCAATTACGGGCATTAGCGTGGATGCCGCTGCGGCTTTAATTTGACTCGCATCTGTCTCGCTTCGGCGCTTTTGAACTTCCCAAATACGATTATACGCGGCGCCCGACAATAATTTTCTTCATCATTATTGTATAACGGCAGCATATCCACATGTATATCTAACGCGCGAAATAAAAGATATGTCGTATAATAAACTATAATATTTATTAATTATAAAATAAACATAGTTGAAATACAATCATGTTATTTTATATGATATAATACTCAGATAAATAATTATGAAGTGGCCATCTAGATTTGTATCAACGTTTGGTCTTAAATTAAAATCATAAATTAAATTTCGGATTTTATGATCATTTAAAATAAATTATAGCATTGTAATATTTTATCATAATTCATCTTTAAGTGAATATTTAATTTTAAATGAATGAATGGAGCTTTTTCCAAAGAAATGTTAAGAATATTTGTTAAAAATAAAAACCTAATATACATGTATAAATTTTTCAGAAAAGAGACAACATATTTCGATGTAGCAAAGAGGTATAAAATATAACTTTTGACTTTCGCTTGAGAGTGATAGCCGTGACTCAAACGTTGCCCGAGAAAACTGACGAACTGTCGCTTTTATTTACCAGAGATTAAACATGAAACAAAGCAGTATTTTAAAATATTAAAATTTTTATTTCTAAACCAATAATACGAGAAGATTATAGTAGACTATCTGCTTGTAAATTTGTTTTCAATCGGAAAAAATGCTACACCTTTTTATAATTCCTGTCGGAATTTTATAATGACACAAACTGAATTATATTATAGATTCAATTTCTTCATCTCTCTAGAAACTACCGTTCTAAGTATTCAAAATCCTGTTTTGGTAATATTAAAAAATTAGTAAAACCAACCAATTAACATGAGATTTAAGAAAAATGGATCAAATTGTTTACATAGTTTATTATTTTTATGTAATTTTTATAATAATTAATTAGATGGTTAATGCACGAAAATGCACCGCCCCTATTGTTACGTTGTGTCACATCATCATAACCATCGTCATAATCGTTTATGCGACATTACGCGTCGTGACGTCGCGAAGATGAGATGCTTCGCATGCCAGGGTCGCAGGATTTTCCAGGAGCGCGTCCGATTTCCTATCTTCGCCGTAGAGAGATGCATTATCCACATAATATTATCCTTCAATTAGATTGAGGGGTACAGAAATAGCTTACTGATTTCCAACTCTAACACATCTCGAGACAAAGTAATTTCAACGTTGTTTAGAATGCAGTAAAAAAGATATGGAATACTTAATTGTTAATAAGGTCTTAGTGTGGAGAAAATGAAACATTTTCACGTTGTATATTATTACAGCAAACGTAGAAACAGATATTAATACAAATTATACATAATGGTTAAGAAGAAGAACTGTTTTGCACGTTACCGACTGAAATGTTCTTTGTTGTTTGTTCTTCTTTTTACGCAAGGTTGTTTCGGAGGGTTGTTAAATAAATGAATATTTTGGCTCTGGTGCGCGTATGTCGTCGAAAATACTCGGGTCGGGTTCGTCATCGGGATCGAACTCTATGTTCATCGGATCGATCGCAGGTGTTTGAGAAATTCTGGGTTTCGCGGACGGTGCTGGTTGCATCAGACATGTCTCCAGCCTTTCCCTCACGCACTTTCTTTCACCCATCGCGTCTATTACGGACGCCGTTTCCCCCGTGTATTGCATTATGGCATCTATATTCTCTTCGTACTCTCGAAGCTACATTTAACAAGTAACAGCGAAATAATTTCAATTTAAAATTTAAAAAGTATGAAACTTTTCTCTCACTTAATATAATTCTTCAAAAGCGTACGTGTAAAATAAGAAAAGAGTAATTACAACATAATAAATTGACATATAAATACAATTTACATCTAAAGAAATTAAAAAACGCAATTTTGTCAATAGAAAATTGTCAACAGAAAAGATTCTTAATTCATAAAATATGTTTTCCCGACTGTAGAACAATATGAAGTACATATATAAATCTTGAACAAGAATGTTTCAAAAGATAATACAGTAGTTACCTCTTGTTCGATAATGTTTCCGTGATCATTAGAATAAACATCTAATTTAGAATCTGAATCCGTCATCGAAGACTCGCACGTTGCGAGATCATGTTCGCTTCCAGTAATAATGTCGCATCGATGATTCAAGAGTCTTTCCCCACACATTTGTACGTCCATTTTTAGAACAATTACTCTAAACGTAATTTCGAATATCGTCATTACTTTGTTATTACGGGATGTTCACAGAGAAATTATGATATTTGTGAGATTTACCTATTAGGTGGCGTGGGTATCATATCCAGGAGCTTGAACTCGTCCACAGTTTTAGGGTAACCCGTTAGAATCCATCCTCTCTTGAGGCAGTCATCTCTGAGTACATATTGCTGGAAAAAAAACAACTGTGTTAATAATAATGAATCATAAATGAATTTAATAATAGAATAAATTTATATAATATGTAATATAAAAATATAATAAATTAATAATATAGTAAATAAATAAAAAATAATAATTTAATGTGTTTCTTAGCGAGTTATAACCACACCTCGATGATTTGTATTCGCGCTTCTAACTTCACTTTCTGTCTGCATCTGTGCTCGCATAAACGCAACATCTCATCTAAAACCGTCTCTCGCAAACAGGCTTGTTCCAAAATATTATTAAAGTCAACTGCAAAAACGTATTTCTGTTCAAAATATTATTATTAAGAATACATTTGTCTACTAAAAGTCATTACTGATGAAGAAGAAGCAAAAATGTTATAAATAATGTCTTTTTAATAAAATAAAAATCTAATGTTTCTCTAGAACAAATATCAATATGTTATTAAAAATAATATCACACACACACACACACACACACACATATTACCATAAACGAGATTAAATTTCTCAGATATATGTTTTGCCAAAGAATGACGACTTGATCCTGGAGGACCTATAAGAACGATGCGAAAAAGCGATGGAGCCCCATAATGTTTCCTGATTTTCAATAATGCCGCGCAATCTTTACCCAGCTTATGAATTGTTTTAGTACCAACCTCAACCTCCTAAAATAAATAATTTTAATTATTTCATAACAAAATTATTGCCGTTTAATATAAAATAAAAAAATTACTACATTCGGATAGTTTATAAAAGAGTTGTATAATAATAGTTTACTTTGTTAAAACATTATACACATTATTAACATTAGTATGTTAATAATATGTATATTAATTTAATAATTAATATTATATCATGAACAAATATTATAAAGCCAGATATGAACAACTAACTATTAAAAGATTAGTATAAGCTTCACGTAAACCTCGAAGAGTTCTTCTATAATCGCACTGTCTTGTATCTTCTGAAAATAAACAGAATGAGTTTGACCCAACCAAAATTATCCATTTCGAATACATATAAAGTTTAAGAGATGTAAAGATTAAAGATTATTCTCTCTCTTCCCACGTATGCAATTCTTTTAACAATTGAAGTAGATTCTTGTGGTGCAATTCGACTTTCATTTAATGCCTTAATATGTTTTATATTGTACAAGTATGTTAATATAATAAAATTGAAAAATATTGATAATTTTATTAACGTAAAAATGTTACGATTTGTGTTTACAGAGTGAACATATTTTACAAAAATGGAGATGGATCAGAATAAATTTGGAAAAAACAACGGCAAGATAATCATCCAGTAAGTATACTTTCGTCTTGAGCCTCGTCTTCTGCACATGGTGGTATAATTTGTATCACATGTGTTGGTATTACACCGACACGTTGTATTGCACGCGCTTCCTTTTTATTCCTCGGTACATCTGTACAACGAATTATGTATTTCGATAAACGGGAAAACTAAAAAGATCTATAGTTACAGTTTTTAGTTACACTTTTCTCACGGTCGGATTTCTAACTAATTGTCCCAATGACAGTACGTCTAATTTTTACGTCTAATGCTTCATCAATTCAAGATCCACTTTTACTTAATAGAATAAATAATCACAAGACGAAATAATTAATTCACGTATCAGAACAATGAAATACCGACTAATGCCCATCCAGATTCATGATATATTCCCGACATTAACAGTTTCTTTATTCTTGCCGAAATCTCATTAGCATCGTAGCAACGACACATATTCTAAAATACACATATTATAATGAACATTTGGTATATTATTAAGAGAGAAAATTATATATTGCGAGAGATTATATATTAAGAGAGAAAAATTCACGCAACTAAAGCATTTCATACAAATAAACGGCATACTTCGGTAGAAGATAAAGCAAAAAGATCTTCTAGAGTGACAGGACAAATACCAGTTTCCTTCTGTAGAATTTTTGCGAGAGTCACTTTATCTGTGTCAATAGAAAAAAACATTTTGTTTCATTAATTTTGAGAATAATACATGTATATAGATATAGAGGAGGGGAGGGGAGAGAAAGAAAGAAAGAGGTAGTCTCTTATATTAAACTAATCTCTTATAAAAATATATCTCTGCAATGAATTCTATTACTGTTGATCATAATGGATTACCGAAGCTCGGGGGAGCTATAAGAATAACTCTGGGAATATCTCGCTTTCGTACAATATGTTGGACGCATTGTTTTATAAATACTATTGGATCTTCTGGCTGTTGGATCAGTAACTGCGTCACTAATTCCTATGAATTTTATGTAATAGAATATAATGCAATATGTATATATAATGTGATATGATAGTATATTTTTAATATAATATAAAATACGCACAAAATGCAAACGTTTTAATGTAACATAATTAATCCCAATGAGATATTCGAGTGTGGCGAGATGACATAATTTACTTACATAAAAGAATTCATATAGTCTGTGTTTCTCCATGTAGGGCACGAAATTCGGCGGAATGGTTAATAATTGTCTTGTCCCTCCTTCAAAGTTGCACATATTTCACAGTTGTTATGGTTAATTAATAACATGACATTAATTAACGTACTAACAAGCGAACGGCACATGTTTGACCTAGATATGTATTTAATGAAACTCAACCAATACGCGACTTTCATATCTGTTTTCGAAGACTATTCACTTCTTTTATCGTGTCACACAGAATGTTATTAATCCAGAGAGGAATTATGATTTTCAGAGAAAGATAATGAAAATGCGACAGTTTTATTATAAAGACATAAAAAATGTATTGCATTGCTCATTAAATTAGTTATAAACGCGAAATTATCGATTAATTAAGAGCTCCAATTATTTTTGTGAGAGATTATTGCAAGACAGTGAAAATGCAAAATTATTCTTTACACCTTTAAATAAGCATTTGATAACGATAACATTGAAATTTATTATCATGATACATGTATACTGTCTCCTATCCTATAATATCCTATACATATGTATAATAACAATAATAACCCATAGTATACACATACAGGGTGCAATGAATATTAATGGTGCACCAACCTTTTACCATAGGAGATGAATTACCGACCGTAACTGTTGTCAAACTTCGAAAAAATGGAAAAAATCTCGTTATATGTGTTTCGATCATGTAACATCTAATTGCATCTCAAGAGATATAACTAGATATTACATATTTGAGACACATATAACAATTAAGATTTTTCCATTTTTTTTCCAGTCGCGGTCGGTAATTCATCGCAGAAATATTTTCCGTCCTCCTTGTAACAGATAATTTTTAGCATCACTTATTTTCCGCAGTTTTTTCCTATTTATCATATGTATATTTCTACTTTGTCCTCATTGCATTTGTAATATTTATTCAGTGCTATTCTGCTTGCAGTATTTACCAAGAGATGGCGGTAGCGCACAGCGACAGGTTTACTTCGCGCCAACCTCGCTGTTTACAGAGGGCAGCTCGTACTCAAAACAAGGCTTCGTTTGGACAGCGCGATTGCGTGTGTTATTTTATATTGAATATTTTAAGGATAACGAGGTTCCTGCAAACCATCGCAAGGCCATAAACGTATCTGAAGTGACGTGTAATCCTAAGTCCCGAAATGGGTAAGAGTATATTTATATTCTACTCGTGTTTCCACAGAAAGTTCACGTGTATCGGTTTCCCTCGTCTTTTTTTTATGTAACTATCCACGAACAAAGTTGAAAATCTAAGAGAAGAGACACAAGAAGGCAGTTAAAATACATTTCTTACATATATGTGATAAAGCCTTCCTTTTGTTTCCCAAATTGTGGAACAGCCTTGGTTATCGTAACCTCATATTCTATACATAATGAACGTTCAACCAAAAAAAAAACGACAATTGATGACAATTGATGTGTGGCAGGTAAAAAAAGAGGATCTCGTGTGAGAGAAAGCGACGATCTTTTCTCGTCTGAAGATGTTCCTGGTCCGAGCAGCCAAACCAGCGTATCGTCACAACAAAACATTAGACGGTCGACCCTCAGCGACTCACAGATTATGAGCTCGCAAAACGTGGAGGCGGAAAAGCATACGGAGCTGATTAGTGGCGTAATAAGATATCTCTTTGCAGCAGATCGAAATAAGCTGCCTATACAGAAAGCACAGATCATCAAAAATGTACTAGGGGGAAATGGCAGAATATTCCGTTTCATTATCGACAAAGTGAACAGCCAACTGTCCGAGGTATACCTGTTTTACAATTATTATTCATATGATTGCATAACTGTCTTACGAGGCAAACCAGTTTGAAAGCATATATGTATTTATGAGATAAAGAAATTTCAAGCAAGCTGTGATATTTGAAAGGTATTTGGATACAAGCTCGCGGAAGTTGAGAGCAACAAGTTTATACTGGTGAACGAAATAGAAAACGATCTTCCACATCTCACTTTTCCCGACAGCCGTACGCAGGTGCTGTTGTATCTCGTACTCGTACATATTTTCATGTATGGCGAATCGTGCAAAGAGGGTAATTTTCACTCCTTGGAAATTTTTCATGTTAAATACACATAACGTATGTCTTGCATAATTTATTACACAACACTTATACGTCTGTGCAGTAAATTGTTGCAAGAAACTTTAAATTAAGGTTGAAAAAGTAAGTGAAATAATTTCCGCAGAAGCACTATGGGACTACCTTAAAAATCTGGGTATTGTAACGGATGATAACTTTCACCATGAATACTTTGGCGACGTTAAACAGCTGGTGACGGTGGTAAGAAGCGATTGGCGAAATTAAATGTAAATAGTCAACTATAGTTTAATAATAGTTTATTTCTAAACGTCATTTATTTCCATGCAGCAGTTTGTAAATCAAAGATATCTTGAGAAGAAAATAATGGATAAGAATAATCCATCGCAAGTCGAGTATGTATGGGGACCCCGCGCGGAAAATGAACTCACCTATCGTTCCGTCTTGCAATTTGTTGCAGAAGTAAGCACAAGAATATATAATATTGAACAGTACGATAAAGATGATAACATAATTTATGTTACAATATGTAAATTATTAAAAAGTTTGATACTTATTACTTACAAAGTTATTGTTTTCATATTTAATTGTGATTTTCTAAAAATCAATTAGATTTCAAACAAATTTGGGTAATCGATAGAATTTTTTCTATTCTATTTTATACGTGGAGCACGTGTGATGTTAAACGTCTGTAAATAATTAATATATGAATTGCAGATATACGGATGTTCTATGAATAAATGGAAGTTGCAATACAAGACTGTTGTTGAGGCAGAACAAGCTTAAGAGGGAGAACAAGATAATTTATTATATTTGCGCCATGTTAAAAGAAGAAAGAAAACGGAAGGACAAGGTTACTCAAATGTATGAATGTATTGTCTTTTCTCTATTTTTGTAGTACAAAAATTTCAAAAACCTTTGAATGCCAGAAAGTGTATAATATTTTTTATTCAACGTATTTAATTTAAACTAGACAACACAAACGCGCGCTTCGCGCGTGCCATTTGCTATCTATAAAGATTCACTGTACACATATATTTCAAGACCGAATTATTTACGATTTCCCAGATATATTTACTGGCCCTGAGAGCAGCCTTAAAGCTGCAGGGATTAGAATTCGTCCTCAAGCAAGACTGTGGAATAACTCGTGCCGCGTGCGAACTCGCGCACGTGTTTACAATTATAGAATTAACGCTCGTGCGCGGTTTGTTCGATTAAAAAAAAAAAACTCGAAGCGTACAGAGTACCCCGTAATTCGCACTTGTGTAAATACCCAGCTGCTCGCACATTCATTCACTTAATATTTTACTCTGCGTGATCCTCTTTGCACAGTTTTGTTTCCGACGATCATTCTTGTCTGCCAAAATTGACACGGCCGGACAATTGCCTAGAAGGGCGCTCCCATGAAACTCGTTTCGTCTCCGGAAGCTTGTCACTTGGCGGAAACGCGAGCTTCGCCGCTCTGCAAATTCGGTGAAATCGGGGACGAGAAGGACGGAGGTGGAGGACGCCCGTCGCGGGTCTTCCTTGCGAACGCGGGAGTCCACAGGTTGCCAAACTCTCCGCGTCAGATATCCGGCCGTCCGTGCGTTTACCTCGCGTCCTCGCGCGGGCGAGGAGCGGGTGGGTGGTTGCGCGGAACGGAATCTGTGTCGCGCCGGGTCGGCCGCGGCCCCGTCGCGCCGCGCCGCGCCGCGCCGTCGCCGTCGCCGTCGCCGGGATCGCCGCGCGTTCTCATCACCAGTGTCCACCCAGCCCCGTTGCTCGGCGGAGGCCGCCGAGCGCCGTCCACCCACGCGTCCCGTCTCGAGTCCGCGCGTCGCGTCGCGTCTCCGCCACGACGGCCACCCCGCGTGTCGCTCCACGGGATCCTCGCGCGTCGTGCACTGCCCACACGACCCGGACGGGGGTCGATAACCCGCGTGGAGGCGAGGACGTTGCACCCGTTCCGCGGGAAAGTCGGCGGATCGTCGCGCTTTCGATTTTTCCTCCCCCACGGTACGGAAGGCCCAATTTATTTGTCGCAATAGTAATAAGGCTCAATTTGTCCCGTGAGATTTTCAGAAAGCGGATGCTGTGCGCGGCCGAGAGCGGGGCTGAAATAAGGGTGGATTCACGCCGGAAGGACGCGGCCGCGCGAAACGCGCCGTTCGATTATCGTTCGAAATACCAGACGCAACGTTCCCGAACTTCCTTTAAGTCCTCGGCGACGTCTCTTCCTTCGTTTCGCGGGAATATGTATATTTGAGGAGGGGTTTGCGCTTCCGAAAAGAAAGAACAGGACGGACCGAAAGATTCATGTAGCCACATCGGGACTTCCCTTAAAAAATGCGGGATATACGCCAGCTATCGACTCCGCAGTGTATATCGCGCTTTCGTTGCCGAGCAACGGATAAGGATACAATGTTCTGATACGCTTTTATTTTCTTGCGAACAATTATTACGGAACGATCCTACGCATGATACGTTTGTATTTTCTAACGTTAATTTTACTGTCGCTACATCAAAGTGTTCCGTAAGTCCAAACCGATGTAAAATTACGTAGGCGAAAAAACTGAGAGTATACATTTTCCTGTTTCTCTTTTTTTTTAATTTGATACGCAAAGGTGTTCATGTTCTCGTCTACTTTCAAGCACACCCTGAGATCGCGCCGCGCGAGCAGAGATTTCAGCGACCAACGATTCTGCGGACCAACCGATCCCTCTGTGATATTTTGCCGAATAGTTTCACGAGAAAGTTCAACATCCCACGGTGATTCGCGTTTTTACTAACGGTAAGTGGCGGGTCAATTTGCGTGATCGATTATCGATCATTTGGATCAATGCGTTTCGATAATGTTTAAGCGCGCGGAATGTCACGAAGAAACCTCGCTCCAGCGCTACAATGATTTTGTAGAAATGATATTAATTAGAATCAACAAATGGAGAACAGAAGACGAAGGGAAGAATAGTATTGACAAAGTTAAAAGTTGAGGTTTTAGCCCAACGTAGAAAATTAATATTCGACACGACTGGCAAATTCTAATTAAGCCGTGTCGAACGTTAATTTCTTACATTGGTTAATTATTTACTGGCGACAATAAGTCTTTATTCTTGTTGAGATGTTAATGTCAATACTGTTACTTTCGCTGATATCACTTGCCACGTTTCCACGAAGAATACAAATTGAATTTCACAAAGTGACGAGAAAACTTAAGTACGATCGAACGAAGCAGCACTTTGCCTACTTGCTACTCGTGAATTGCGTCCCGAGCGATCAATATCTTTGGCGAACTACTTAAGCTTAATAACTAATTTGATATAAAACAGTTCTTGATGGTGTATTAACGGTATTCTGGTAAGGATCGTCTGCAATAGATGAAGTAAGCCTGGCGTAACAAGTAAGAGCAGGAGTACAGAAATGAATCATTTCCATTTCTTATTCCTACTTCAGCTCTGGCGCTTACTCTCGGCGAATTAGAGCGCGGTTCGACCAGTGCTGTAAATATTTTTAAAAAATTATGCCTGCACTTTAGCTTTTACACTGATAAGTAAAGCTTACGGTTTTCTTCCTTCGCACTGCTTACTTCCAATGTAGACGGTTCTTTAGAGACACAATTTTTACGTCCAAGTATACCCTAGTAGCACAGTGCATTGGCTAAACATTGGCCCAATACAATCAACCATTGGGCCAAAGTTTACCCAATGTGTGGACCATGCACTGTGCTACTACACGAAAAGAAAAATGTAGCTGTCACAGTAGCTAAGAACTGCAACTAAATTTCAGTAAAATATGGACAGCTAATATTTGATTGCGATAGCTAAATATCTTGCTACCACGCCTATTGTATTAGATGCGACAGCAAATCGTTCGCTGTGGTTTAGAAATTTATAGTTACGGCAGTAAAATATTTTTGGCGAGTCACGATTGGCTGCGGCAGCGAAAAGTTTCTTTTCAGTGTAGGGTATGCAGAGCGGTCGACGCGCGACGTGCAGGAGAAATATGTCACAAGGGGCAGAACTTCCGCGAAGAATAGTGCTAATTCGATCACGTAATACTCTCGAGAACGCGCCACCTTCCTTTGTACCATTTTTCCCCCCGTGTCCAATAGATTTCAAGGTATGCGAGGACGGGACTGGTGACAGAACGTCCTGTGCACACCGATGAACGGACCGGCGTTTCGAGAGGAAACGCGTTTATTCGCTCCATATCGATCTGGAATCTCGAGTGCGGTATTAATAGCGGGACGATTCCGCGCTTAATAATGCATCCGCGTGTATCTTTCGCGATATTGACTCGCAATAATTTGCTTCGATTGCGAAATTAGATTGAGAAAGGTCAGAGGAAAAATCCGGACAGTTCATAAAGCCTGTTAAGAGAAGCGCTACATCGGCAACACGCTCTGCGTAAGGTCGATTAAAACCTTTTCTCTCCTTTATTTCCGTTCTTCCTCCATCAAGCTTTAACGAGGAGACACACAAATCAGTGCCGGGTGATATCTCTTTTCTCTCTGTTATGCAAAGCGTGTTCTTTTTAAATAATGGAACAAATTGCCCGCGAGAGAAATTAATGTCCTTGAATTTTGTGGGACACAAAATGTCAAACGTCTTCATATTTGTAGTAGAATAAAAATAATTTAATGCAGCCGCGCGTCAAAGGGGCCTCTTACTCTTTGAATTGCTTAACTGTCGTTGAAAATATTTTATATTTGCAAAAACTAAATGATTCTCAATATTGCGCGTGTAACATTTGCACGGAAAAATTATGAGAGTATTTTGTATTTCTAAAAGTTAAGCGATTCGCAGTGTCGCGCACGTAACATTTGACATTTTCACGGAGAAATTTGCTACGACGAAATTAAACTATCATATATCATCATCACACTTAAACAATACGAGGAATACATTTAGTATCCAATAAAATTGTTAGTTTCATCTCTGCAACGATGAAAAAAATGACGTTACATTCCTATCAGTTTATCGATGTAAAAATACTTTCAACGAATTACGCTCTTAAATTTCCTCTGAGAGATAAATGTCTGTGAAGAAATTAAGAGACATTAATTGTTCATTAATTATTTTTCGTACGATTCAGTCGTTATTAAACGTCGTGTCCACTTTTATCGGGAAATCCAATAGTCGTCATGTTTATGCAACAGTAATTAACATTTTGTTTTACGTAAATGAAGCCGGCGAGGCCTGGGATACCTGTCATGAAAATGTTCGGAATTGTTCAATTATTTCCTAGATTTCCATTGTGTCGTCTTGGGGAAACGGAATAATTCCGATCGGAATCCATTCCGAAGATTTCCATGGTAGGTGCCCTGGCGAACTGCTTCGCCAGAGCGCGTTTTCGAAAAACGAAGTTTCAAAAGCGGGACGACAAAACGGATTTTAGGCGCGCCGGGACCAAACAGCCAGCACTCGCCAAGGTAGTCGCGGCGCAGCGATGTTCAACCTCTATCAGAGTCTAAACAAGAAGGACGACGGCGACGGGCAGCGGAACCGCGAGTCGGAGGTGACCGGTCACGACAGATTCTGTCAGCATCGTACCGGCCACTCGAGCACCCGTCGCCGCCGACGTGCCGTTAATCGCAGGACGCAGAGTGCCACCGAGCTGAACGCCAGGGCGATGAGCACGGCGCGGGGCTCGTTGCGACGTGGTCGCAGCGTGAGCACGGAGGACGAGAACGAGAGCGAGGACGACAAGGGCCATCAGCTGGCGAACAAGCTGGACAATCTGGCGCGGCTGCTCTTCAGCCGCGTGTCAGCGGCGCGGGGATACAAGGATCAGGGAGACGTCAAGTGAGTATTTCAGGGGTGAAAGGGCCGCGCGCGCGCATCTTGGTCGACTTTCGTCTCGCGCCGGTTTCGGGGTCGGTTAAAATTAACCGGCGGAGACGGGATCCATAATTTACGAACTATATAGATTTTGTGGAGCGACCGGGGGAAGAATTGGCGGAGTTATAAAATTATACGATTGCGGAGCGTCAAAAAGTTTCGACGATTGCCAAGCTACGGCGGGGGGAAAAGATTACGGGGAGCCGTGTAATTAAGGTTGAAGATAAAATTGCGGAATTGTACCACCATACGATTATAGACTCGTGGAGGCGACGTAAGATAGAATTGTGAAGTTATATATGAAACGAAATTAAGAATATAGAGAGAACTGCACACTGAGGGACGATTACACCCTCGGAAAAGATTTCTGTTACCGAGACAAAAATATTCTTGACGCATTTATATTTCTCACAACCTCATTTAGTACAGGTAAAAATAAGACGATAACAAAATAAAATCAATAATTCTTATTCTCCTTTATCGAATTAAAAAAGATTGACTTAGTATATTGAGACAGAAGTAGCTTATATAAATGTAAGTTTATATATTCTTGCGTTTAAAATAAATTGTCCCTCCGTCTTACAACGCACGAAGTTGGTGCCACGATATTCGACAAGACGACTACATTTTATTCTAAATTTTCCAATTTTTCATTTAAGATTAAAATATCCCTTTCGCTATAATAAATATAATTGGCGCTGTATCGATCCTATTTTATGATGCATTAAAGTGTATATAGCATATATTGGATCCGGAAATTTTTTTGTGGGCGTGATATTACATCTTTACAAGAAAATCGGTTGAAGCTACTTCAACCACGCGGGGAGAGAATTTTCTCTTAAAATTTACCCTGAAAATCGTGTAATCGTGGGACAACGTGGCATTTTGAAGAACTGCATGAAAGTTCTTGGAAATTTTACTATACACTCTACTAGTAAAACGTATACTAGATATAATTAGAGGAGAGTCCACCATCGTGAGATCGGTTTCTAATACGAGACAGCAGGTTTTCAACACCCAACTTTAATCGCAAATCTTCTTTCCCAACGATTACGCGAACAATGAATTTTTCACTCAACAGACCACTCCAAGAGCAATAAATTCACGGTGGAACCGACAGACGACGCCTATTAATTTAGCGGACACCCCCGCTGTCTCATATTAGGAGCCTGTCTCATAATAGGGGACTTCGCTCTACTAGAAAAGTGTATGGTAAATTTTCCGAAAACTCATACAGTTCTTCAAAGTGCCGCGAATTGTATCCCCGCGATTACATGATTTTCCGGATAAATTTTCAGGAAAAAAATTCTCTCCGTGCAGCCACACTCGATCAAGACACTCGCGGGGCAAGGAATCGTGTCAGAGCGTGAAATATAAATCGCAACGTCCCGGTCCGGTCTCCTCCAGCGGGCGAGATACCGCGATCCTTCGACGAGCCGGTTTAGCCCCCGCGGGATATGTATTATTCACGCGTACAGAGCAATAATGCACACACCGGCCTCTCTCCGTTCTCAGCCATGCTATTACTTGTTGCTGCAACGAGAAGTCAACAGGCACATGGCTCATTGTCCATAATGTCGCGTTGAACATTAACAATGACACTGCCCTAACGGTCTGATATCGGATCTAACGTTGCCCACCGACATCATTGTGCGTCCTCAAACCGGCGGCTTCAATTATTTGTGTGTCACGCACCCTCGGGCGTCTCTGTTTGTAAACCGCGTGCGAGTCCGCAGCAAACGTCCACAGAAACGTTTCGCTCCCGCACGGCACGTTTATTCCGCGCGCTAATAAATCACACCGATAGCCGTTCTCCATCACGTCGTCCCACGCGAAGACGTCCGGTCAGTGATGACGAGCTGCGCGCGACCGGAAGTTCATTGGAGGCTCTCGGCGAGCGACGGTCACCGGGTGGACGGGAATTTCCGTGTTCCAACGCGCAGGTATACAGCGAGCGCCGCGCGAACACCGCGAAGAGCGTCCCGGGACCAAAGGGGTCCTCTTCGTCATCGGCTGCGCTCGGCATTGCGGACGCAATGGGCGTCGGAGTGCTCGTCCTCCCTTTACTATCTCGTTCTCCTCTCTCGCTCGCGCGAATGCAAAAGAGCTCTACGACGCCTCGGATTTGCATTGCCGAACGCAGGCTATTCTCGAAGTGCCCCGGCCTCGTTCCCCGATCATTCGGAAACGAGACCCGGAGTCCCGGGACGCCCGGCACGTGACGCGCGTGGTTCGCGTTAATTCAATTGTCATGTCCTTGCGCGGGAATGCAAGCCGCGCCAAGGTCGGCTGTGTGGCAACGCACGGCCACTGTGTGGCGATTTCTTTCTTTCTTTCCTTCCTTTTTTTTTTATTGGATGAAACCCCTTGCAGCCACAGAGCAACGTGGCGCTTTAGTGGTGCGCGACCGCGCCGTAATCCGTGGCTCGCGAATCTAATCCGCTTTTGTTGCTGCCGGGGGCGCGATAATGCACAGGAGTTGTCTAGGCGAGCGCAAAGCCGCGCGGCACCTCTCGACAGCAGGTAGAAAATGTTTTTTTCATGACGTATGAGACATTCAGCTCTCGGGCGATCAAGGGCTCAGACACGATGAAAAGGAATAGGGTACTGGGAATAGAGAATTAAATTTCGACCATTGGGAAGCCATGCTTTCGCATGTGTTCACAATAAAGGAAGAAAAAATTGACATATGGAACAGAAAGCGTGACTTCCCATTGGTCGAAATTTAATCTTCCTATTCCTAATACCTTATTCCTTTTCATTGTGTCTGAGCCCTAAGAGTGTCCCATATAAATATACAATATATATGTGTGTGTGCGTTATCTTATTCCGTATTTTTAAAACTCTGGCAATCTGGCGTCCCTTTCACCCCTTGCTCGCTATTATTTCTTCAACGTCCCTTTAACAGTCGTGGAAACGTTTTGAAACGCATCACGAGATTACTTAATTTTCCCGTCTCCTCGGCAATCCAGCAATTTGCATTTTCTCTTTCATTCGTTATCATTGCCTTCGGTATTAGCGCTTTTGAAACTAGCGGGTGACAATCGTACCCCGACGACACGCAGATCCGAGAGTTCTAAATGTTCAGGATGATTAAATCGTCAATGAAAGCGACGCTGCGAAGCGTTTTGTCGTCTCGGGAAGAGATCGAACGGGGGGGGGGTAGGGAAGTGAACGGGCAAATTGAATTGGGACGATCTCCTTAAATAAGGAGACACGAATAGGATTTTGCGTATTTCCAACAGAAACGGCCGTTACACGGCGCTGAATCACGGGTCAAAATCTGTCAGCGAGGATGGAGTCGAGTACATGGAAATGGAGAAGAGATCCCGCGATCGTGCTTTATCAATCTGCCAGGACTACATCGGGAAAACGTCGCGCTTCGTCCTCATCAAGCAGCTGAATAACATCGGTGAGCCCTCCTCGCTTCCGTCGAAGCCGTCCAAGTGCCAAATAAAAAACACATATAACAAGGTGTTCCGAGACCGTAGGGCACTCGTCGATAGGATTGCGACGTAACGAGGTAGAAAGTAGTAAAGCGGGGACAAACTGTAAAGATCCAAGAAGCTTTACCGCGCTGGAACGTGTTCGACATTCGCACGATTTTACTCAAAGACTTAGATTTTCTTTTCCGTTTCGGCGTTTGCTGGCTGAGAAATACCTCCGAGACTTTGGCCCGTGTTCCGAACCCTCTTTCATCGATAAAAGCGTCTCTAAAAGTGGCCTTAACAGTCTTCTTCTGATTGGCTGCAAGCCACTTTTAGAAACGTTTTTATCGATAAAAGTGGATTCGGAATGCGGGTCTTCTTGTACGAAGAAGAAAGCTGATGTGGAATTGTTAAAATCCTTCAGGCTCGAGAGTAGATAAGTACTGGTTCATGGTGAGGGACACGTCGCTGAAGACGGACAGACTGTTGACTTTGGTGCCGTTGATTCGGAGCTGTCCGCTGACCGTCTGTCCCTCCACCAAGGACATCTTGAACAATCTGTTCCTGGCCTTACAACATCCCTACATCTGTCCTGTCTTTCACGTCGATTTTCTCGAGTACGAGGACCAAACCTACATCGTTCTGATACAGCCCATCAACCAGGGCAGCCTGAAGGACCTAATATACGGCGTAAGTACCTCGTGACGTCGAAATGTACTCATCTCTTCAGAAGACCGAAGAAGCACGCGTACGCGAACTTTGTCGATCGATCCGAAACTAATTGGTTTGCTCACTTGCTCAGCCTTAGCGAAAGTTTTATTAGACACCACCCCTCTCCGCCTTGTTGATTGTCAATATCCAACATCTTAGTACGCCAGACTTCACTTAATTGATTAAATTCAAACAAATCAATAATGTAAGAGCCATTTAGGATAATTAACCGAGAGAAGGTCGCGTCCATCTCCGATCGCTAATAACGCGAAGACCTTTTCTCTGTATATCTGGGATACTCGAGGACAGGATGTCCTAGTGAAAATAATGTCCTGTGGCAGATCGAGCGAAACTGCTGGAACGAGGACTGGACTCACAAGTATGCCGCGCGGGGCAAGGGACTCACGCTACCGCAAGTCCAACGAATGGGACGACAGATATTGGAAGCGCTGGTGTTCCTGAAGGAACGGGGATTCCCTACGGTGACTCATCTCCATTCGGGCAACGTGGTGATTCAGAACGGCGTTGCGAGACTGGCCGGTCTGGAGAACACGCTTCTGGGCTTCACCAGTCGCGTACACCCCGTCGTGACGTCCCGATTAACGCACGCTACCTCGATCGATATTATATGCTTCGGTAAAGAACAAATATATTTCGCCAAGCTCTTCAAAGGGACTTTTACTCGAGCTTTCATTGTTAATGTAATTAATTTCGGCGAGATACTTTTCAACACGATTTTAAATTAAATCTTTGTAGCGGGATTTCAATACAATATTCTATATGCAATCTCCTTTCGGCGATATTATGTTTCGTAAAGTGCCAAAGCTTTCAGAGCTTGTGTGGTTTCTTTAAAAACCGAGCTTGATGTTACATTTCTTCAATAGCGTGTTTTATTTCAACTTTCAAATTTAATTTTTAATAAATAATTGTTAATAAAACTCATTTTTTACGTCATCAGGGCACATGCTGTTCGAAATGTGCGCCGGCTACGAACTATGCACCTTCAGACCATCTGCCGTCCAGCTATCAGACATCGAAATGCATCCGCAGGTAGAAATCGATCCCAATAACGACCCGGCGTCTGGTCCATTCGTAAAATGAGAATCCAAGCGCTACGTTGTTTCAATTTCAGGTCGTGAGATTTCTCGAATTGGTATTCACGGAATCGGAAAGTCATTTTACCACCATAGAGGAGTTGCTGATCCACGATCTCTTCAGGAATATCGATCTCCGTGAGATGCGATGTGCGGCCGTAACCGTGAGTGTTCGACTTCGAAGTTCAATCTGGACAATTTAAAGTCAACTCAATCCCAACGAAATTAATGCGACTATTTCAGGTATTTCGTCCGACCCTGACACCCTCCATAATGAGCCTGCTCGACGGTATTAAACGGCAAGACGGAAAAGGGTGAGTTTTTTTGCGAAAAACCTTCACGGTGTATAGTTTATTAAATATATATATATGAAAATCTATTCAAATGTGTGTATCCAAATTGCGATGCATAAATAATTATTGGTGTTGGAAATAATTTGTTTCGCATGCGCAGCTGGCATAAGACACGCTCTATAAGCGATGTCCATTTAACGCGCAGATTTTGGTAATGAACGATCAATTAATTGCGCTGATTAATAAATATGAGTTCAATTGAAGGGACAACATGCGCTAGCGTTGTACTTTATTTCAGAATTACGAGTATCGACAGCGAGGACGGTGTATCGCTGAACAGCTTCGACGGATCCTTACTCACGCAGATATACAACGAGCTTTCACATACGGCTTTATAATGTGGGAACAAAGTCTGTACACATATATACGTATATTTTATCTCGAAAGATGCACGTTCCTATTATATTTGCAAAGTGCCAAGAAAGCAATTAACCCGACGCTAATTGTACCATGTATTATAATATAAAAAGCATGTCATAGAATTTGTACAATGACGTAAAAATGATTTTGCGCATTTTCTTGTTTATCTTCGCGTTTGTCAGACACAGATGAAGAAAATTGTAATTGTCGTTAAAACTAATTGTTTCTCCTGTTATTGTAACAATTCTAGGATAACGACCTTAGTAGAACCCGAGGATTATTTTAGATTTGTAATTAGAATAATTTTAAAATATGAGAATTACAATAGAGAAATGACAAAAATGAAATAAAACTTGGAACGGCGTAAATTGAATGAAACACCACTCGAGTTTACATCACTTTTTTTATTCACGCTTAAAACGAAGTAGAAAAAGTACTTGGCAACCCCTAGTTTCACTTGAACTCTCTTCCACTATGACAGAGAAATAGTGCCTTCGTACGAATATGGCTCACAACAGATGTAACCAGCAGTTATTTCAGTACTGCTACTCAGCCAGCGAATTTCTTTTATTTATTAATAACATAACCAATTTGTCACCGTAAAACAATAATACTCGCCATTCATATTCTTTTGAAATATTGGAAAAGTTATAAGTTTTCAAAATTTGGAAAAAGTACAAATGCGTCTAGTCAGATCCAATAAAATAACACACATTTATCTCCACAACTCGCCAAACTTTAGAAAATATAAAATAAATGAAATCTTTTATCCTGTTACTTACACTTCTCGTATGATTGATCGAATGATTGAACGCAAGAATTATTGTTCGCTGGTGAAAAGGAATGTCTCAAAACTCGTTACACCGAGATGTTCAACAACACACTTGGCGCACTAAGGGCTGCGCTTACAATCCTCAGTCAGGAGGCGGCGATAGCTCAGAACAATTTCATGAATTATATTTCGCGTTATGAGCCGCCAGTTTCAATCTCGCTTCCGGGTGTTTCAGGTTCTTCATCGTTATAAATATTCTCCGCCATTTGCCATACTTGCATTATGTTATCTTCCGACACCGAGCATATGACCCACGGTTCATTAGGATTCCACGAAAAATCACTAATTTTCGCGGTATGACCTCCATGTATAAACTGTAAAAATATTTTGAAGATTATTTTTGAGAAACTTTAATTCCAAATAAAAAGATATAGACTCTTAAAACTTAAAATTTTTACAAAGAATCGAAGAATATTCTAAATTGGGACAAAATTAATTAATTAATGGAAGAAAATTGTAAAATTTTTTAGTGATTTTTTTTCTTCCGGTTACTTATTTATTTTGTCATCCACAAAACAACTTTGCGTAATTACCAAAAGTTCAGGTGGCCCGTCTTCGGCATCCTCGCTGGACTGCTCCTCGCCGATCTTGCTAAGATCCCAGACATGTAATCGTCTGTCTGTGCCACTGCTCGCCAATATCGTTTCGTTGTGTGGTGACCATTGGACCTGGAAGATCTCATCCTTGTGTGATTCAAATGAATGCAACTTCAATTTGAGATTTCGCAGATCCCAAAGAGCTACAGTTTTATCCGCGCTGCCAGTAGCTAATATAAATTCAGAGTATGGATTGAAACTCAGGCAGTTCACTTCAGCGGTGTGAGCATCAACGGTATGACTTGGTTTACTAGTATTGTTGCATCTGCAAATATAAAAATTTTGATGATATAATGTGTACTGCACTATTTCGTTTCGCAATTCGCTGCAATTATCTATACTCTTAAATGGCTCTTCAAATAAATGCAATCTACCTAAGAGTCTAAAGAATATTTATTTTAACTGTATTATTAACGGCCTTAAAATTGAAGTTTCTCAAATAATTGTATTATAAATTACCTGGTGTCCCAGATCATGAGCTTTTGATCGTCAGCGACCGAACCAAATAGTGATTCATGTAACAGATGCCAAGCGACATCTTCGACCACAGCTGTGTGTCCTGTGAAGATAGTTTTCGCGTCGATAACACGATTTTCCTTCGGCGTGGCATTGATATCCCACAGGCAGATAGTGTGATCGTCAGACGCGCTAAGTAAGTATCCGTTGAGATTCGGATTCCATGAGAGTCCGTAGCCTTCCTTTTGATGTCCTCGCAATCTTCAAGAACATTTAAATAAATAAATACAATATCATATTGATACAAGTACGTGTTCCGTCTATATCTGTTTGAAAGATCGCACAAGTACCTCAAATCCGGATGGCATTCGCCGTTGGGATCCGGTTTGCTTGGATGCTTAGTATAATCAAACACGAGCACGTCGCTCGAGGGGGTCTTCGTCGCGATCACGCACGGGTTTTGCGGCATGAATCGCGCTCTGTTGACCTCACCTTCGTGGTTGATCTTGATCTCGATCTCAATTTTACCACTAACTGAACCGAATCCACCAAATTCACCTTTCTCGTTGTCATAATGAGAGGCGTCGAATTGCGCGTCTTCATTTGGTAGCTGGACGCTAGCGATGAGCAGGTGATTTTGTTCGTCCGAAGTGTGAGTGCCCAGAATTAACCTGTGGATGGAATAATCTTTTCCCTCCGGTCTGGTGACGTCGGGCAGCCATTGGGCCGTCAAGGATGGCCACTCTAAAGCATGTGTCATCACAAGGTCGTACAGAAACGGTGTGTTCTTCTTCCATATTTTATATTCCTCGTTGATAATACGCTCCTCCACAGCGTCATCGAAGCCCTCTGAACGAAGTACAGCGGCGCTTAAGTTTTCTTTTACATAAAATCTTACAAATTATACACATGAAGAAGACATGGAATAATATAAATACAACATTACTAGGCATAACATGTAAATCATCTAACATAGACGAACAATCGACGAAACACGGACAGGTGAACAAAGGATGCTAAATCGATCGAAAGACGAAAGTGTGATACTGGCAACAAGGAGTTTCTCCAAGTCTTCAATAAGTGAGAAGCTCGTATTTGAGCTTATCGATCGCCTGCACAGTTTTTAAGAAACACAACTTTGAATACGATCATAAAAACTTGTGTACCACACTTAAGGAATAACAGTTTATAATAATCACCTCTCGGGTGATTGTCAGGCAAAAGATATTTCAACTTTTCATGTAGTTGTGTGAAGTCACCCTCGTTTCTCGTGGTTTCAGCTCCAGTACAGTTTTTAGTACCGTCTTCTTCAGCCGTTTTGTCATCAAGTAGTTCAATCGTTTCAATCTCATTTGACTCCATGTTTTCCTCCTCTAATATATCTGCTGTTGGATTTTTATTTTCCTCTAATATATCTGCTGTTGGATTTTTATTTTCCTCTAATATAT